TCAAAGATTCTTGGTGAATGATGGAATACTCTATACCATTGAAAATTGAGTCCATGTGCCAAAATGAGGCAACCTTCAAAAGGATGTCCTCAAAGAGTGCCATAATTCAATGTGAGCTGGACATCTAGGTATGACCCAAACGCTTGCTCTCGTACAAAATCACTTTTACTAGCCACATATGCTAGATGATGTCGAAGCATATGTGAGGACATGCTTAGTATGCCAGCAAGATAAAGTTGAATAACAACATCCTGTTGGTTTACTCGAACCTCTACCGATGGCTGAAAGACCATAGGAGAGTATCTCAATGGATTTCATAGTTGCTTTCCCTAAGTTCGAAGGATATGGGAGTATTATGGTGATGGTTGTAACATCCTGATTTTTTTTAGATAAAAAAAAATTGTTGTGAAATTTAAATTTTTATTAAAAAAATGATGATAATAATAGGAATTTATATTATTTGAGATTATTCAGAAATAATAATATGGTTAGACATTTAATTATGAATTAAAAACTTAGGTTTAAAATTACATAAGAAATATCTAGTTAAGATATAATTTTAAGATTTAGAATATAAAAAAAATTGTATGAGTGTGAGTAAAAAAAAGAAAGCAAAAAAAAAAGAGAGTTTAGTCCCACATCGGTTAGATGTGGGAATGAAATGTGCCTCCTCATGTATAAAAGGAGGAGGCGCATTACAGAGGAAGCATAAAGAAATTCTTTTGCAATTTGTGAAAATTGCAACTAATGGTCTAAGATGCAATTTGTGAAAATTGAAAGTAATGGCCTAAAGGTTTGAATAATTAAATTCAGACTTATATTTTTTTTAATATAATTGTGAGACTCACAATCCTATTTTTATATTATTTTTCTCTCTTCCTCTCACGTTGCTCGGCGTCTTCTCGCAAAGGGGGATTATTTTCTTTTTCTTCAGATATGTTCCAACTTTCTTGTTTAGATTAGCATTTAAAAAATTATTTAATTAAAAAATTAATTTTTTAGTTATTTTCTAAATAGTATTAGCTTTCTAGTGATATGATTATTTTGTATAATAGAGCAAATATTTTGATTAGAATTTTTCTATAGGGTAGTTAATCTGATGATATGATGGATTAAAAATATAGGTTGAAGTTCTTAGAGATATAATAAATATTATAGAATATTTTCTTGAGGTTGAAACTCATGTTTAAGAATTTTTGAGTTAAATTTTAGATCTATATGGTTGAATTTATGTTGAATCTAAGATGTAGGGATGAACCTCTGATTATTAAATATTTATTTAAGTATGAATAGGTATTTCTGAGGTTATAGAAAGGTGATTTGAGACTTCAGGATAATTCTAAAATTTCCAATTTATTTTTGAACAAAATTTTAGAATATAGATGGATGAAATTATGATACTAGAAGTAATTTGAGGCTTAAAAATAGTTTATTAGGGTACGGGAATTTTAAAAAAGAATTTGAGAAGTTAAATGAGGCATAAATCTTAAATTAGTGTCAATATAAATTTTATATCTAAGACTATCTAACTCTTTAATTTAGAGTTATTTATTAATTTCAATGTAAAATTAATATATAGTATTGTGAAATAATTATGTAGATTATATTGATAAAGATAGTGGTGAAAGAGGAGTTGTGAAGGGGAACTTGTTATTCAAGACACAAGGTAACCATTATTAATGTGTTGTGATGGGTGTGTTTGTGAATGGTTATGTGTTGTTTTGTTGTTTGGAAAAATTATAAATTATTGAAAATAAACACTATATATACTTCATTGAAATTATTGCCAAGTGGGCAAAAAATTTATTTTTGTTTATCATGATGAGATATTATTGTTCGGATATATGCATGTTTGGATATTTAAATGATGCATGACTTGTCAGGGTATTTTAATGTATGGTGTTAATGAAAATTTCTGTTCGGTTAATTATTACCACGTGGTAGGCCCTCATTGGACCCAATGAGTGGCGTGTCGTTTAGTCCAACTCACCTTTGGCCGGGTGATTTGGCATCCGAGCATGGCAAAAGGAGGATATAAGGTATAGTCATGTAATTAAATACTTATTCGGTTTGTTTGAAAATATTGTTCGGTTAAATGTTTTTATGTGCCCACTTAGCAATCGCATGATTAGTTACATCCGCATGCATTATTACATATTAATTTTTGGTTACTGGGACTTTTAAGTCTCATTCCCCATGGTTAATATTTTTACAGGAGCGAGTCCAGCCGAGAAAGCACCAGAGGCGTAACTTTGGTGTATGAGACACCATCTTTTACGTTGCCTCTTATTTTGTATTATACAATGTATCTTGTGCCAACTTAGGACATATTTTATTTGTGAAGCATGTAAACTCTAATCCCTTTTATTAAAAGTATTTATATGACCAAGAGGATTATGTCTGTCCCTCTTGATTTATGACCTGATTTGAATATCATGTCATGAGGATTATGTATGCCCCTCATGGTTTTAATTGTTTTTTTTGGATATTTTAAGACTTGTGGTATATTTTGGATACATCATGGTAAGAAAATTTTCTACCATGATAATGGTTTTAATAATTTACGAAAAATCGGTTTGTAAATTTGAGGGTGTTACATATGTTGACTCAATAGTACCAGACTTAGCCTCAATTTCGTTGAGGTGGTAGAGGTTGGAGGTTCGAGTCTGGGGAGGTTCCAAAAGACCCCTGGGAGGGTGGGGTGAGGAATACGCTCAATGCCACCTGGGCTAAAGCTGGCATTACCTTATGAGAGGGAAGTGTCCAGCACCACAAATGACCTCAGGGAGGCGGGGTGAGCGGTGGGCTGTTACAATGGTTGATAGATTCAGCAAATATGCCACCTTTATACCAGCCCCAGCAAATTGCAAAGTTGATGAAGCAACACGCTTGTTTTTCAAGCATGTCATGAAGTTATGAGGGATTCCTCAAAGCATCGTCAGTGATCGAGATCCCTAATTCACCGGAAAATTCTGGAGAGAACTTTTCAAGCTCTTGGGGACAGACTTGAACTTCTCAACAAGCTTTCATCCTTAGAGTGACGGACAAACGAAGCGAATCAATGCTTTGTTAGAGCTCTACCTTCGGCACTATGTGAGCGCTCATCAACGAAATTAGGCCAAGTTGCTCGATGTAGCTCAAGTCTCTTACAACTTGCAGTGAAGCGAGTCGACAGGTAAGAGCCCTTTTGAGATAGTTACCGGGCAATAACCTCTAACCCCTAATGCACTTGCCATACCATATAAGGGAGATAATCCAGCTGCCTATAAGTTTACCAAGGAATGGCAAGAAGAAGTCGACATTACTCATGTATGCTTGGACAAAGCCTCCCGTAAAATGAAGAAGTGGGTAGACAAGAAGTGGCGCCCCATTGAGTTTCAAGTTGGTGACTTGGTCATGGTGAAGTTATTGCCGAATCAATTCAAGTCACTATGCAAAGTCCACAAAGGCTTGATCAGGAGGTATGAAGGCCCTTTCCCTATCATCAAACGTGTGGGAAAGGTTGCGTATCAGGTACAACTCCCTCCCAAGCTTAAGGTTCATCCTATCGTCCACATTAGTCTCTTAAAGAAATACTGCAGAGATGAAGAGGATCTATCTCGAGGTATCTCTAAGAGAGCACCAACAGCGGTCGTCACTGAGAATGATAAGGAGATAGAAGAAATCCTTGCCGACAGGGTGATTAGAAAAAGGAGTTCCCAACTACACCGAGTACTTAATTAAGTGGAAAGGCCAACCAGGCTCTGAAGCTAGTTGGGAACGTGAAGACCTCCTGTGACAGTTCACTAACCAAATCCAACACTATAAGGAGGAAGGCGCGACGAGGGCGTCGTGAAATTAAGTGGGGGAGAATGTCACGATTCATGACTTTTCATGAGGTTATGGAGCTCTGGAACGTTCCAAAACCCTCCAGAAGGCTCTTGGATAAACTTAAGAGTGCTAGAGAGTGCAAGAACATTCTAGAAAAGTCTACACAACTCTAGCCTCAATATTTTAATATTTGCCTCTAGATATTTTCATGTAAATATCTAGATATTTGTTGTAAATATCTAAATAGGAGAGGATTCTAAAGAATCAATTGTAACCGTAAGATTAATTTAATCTCCACCATCTATTATGGAGGTGAGAACTTTCTAGATTTAAGGGGAAGGTCTATAAATACCTCACCCTTCCTCATTTGTAACCCAACCTTGAGTTCTCAAAGCAATACTACTCTCACATTCTCCAAGCTCTCTTTCAAGTATCCTTTGCCCTCAAGCTTTTCCTTTCCTCAACTTAGCCAAGCATCCTCCTTTCATACGAGTTAGGCTTATTTAGCAACTTTCAGTGAAGATTGTCTAAGTGCCGCATGGGTCGAAAGACTAGCCCCGTGGCAAAATGCTTAAATTCATCCCCCAAGTTTGAAGTGTTTCGTACCTGAAATTTTAAATTTGTCTCAAATTCTGGTACTTTGCTGATGTGCTATACACAATGCGTGAGAGACGAGTTTGAGATGAATTTGAAATGTTTCAAACGTAAGAGACTAGTTTGAAATGCATAAAGCTGAGATACCGAAATAACACCATTTTAATCTCGGTTTTATTGTTTCAACCATTGGATTAAATTTGAATGATTAATATTTAATATTTAATAAAAGGATTTTTTTCTCCATTGCAGTTCTGAATTGTTTATCTTAGATTTTAACATTTTGGTTTTATTTATTTGTGTTTTATAATTGAATACTTCAATAATAATTTTATAAGATATTGAATTTGAACCATTCAAATTCAATACAATGGTTGAGATGCCAAGTTTGAAGCATTTCAAAATAATTCCTTGGTTTCAAAATTATCACAAGTATTGGTCCTTGCCCTGATCTACTCAATGATTACGAATGAATTGATAAACTTATAAGACCAAGTTACTATTTTAACCTGATAAAATTTATTCATTATTCTTCTTGGCATCATCATATATATATATATATATATATATATTTTCAAAGTGAATTCAGTAGTGAGTGAGTACAGAAGTATGACAGATATTCTTAAACAGAAGACAATTACAAACTCAAATCAGATCACTTAAAAAGACCACATGGGTAGCACCATAGAAAAACCATGGACACAATTTTAGCCCATCACACAGGACACACTCAACTCTCTTCAAAACTAATGAAGAGCCCATTACAATACACAAGCTTCTTGTTAAAAATATCTCGAGAAATTAAGTAGCATAGTTCTGATTCTTAGGGAATGGAAAAAAGGTTGTTCCAATCCATAACATAACTAGAGAAAAACAAACAAGAATCAATACATCATATGTATGTTAATGAATTTGGTCAATATCCTGTATGTGTGTCTGTGTGTATGTCCGTCCATTAACATAACCTGAACTAAGACAGCAGTGCCAAGTTATTGAACATTGACAGCAAATACCGTATGAACATAATGCCGACCGTCAAGCCATGTTAGAGATCCAAAATTGTAGCCTCCATGGGTCTCCTTCCCATCAAATGAGACTTCATAAGACAGCTTCTTTACACTCTCAGAGAAAACAAGCTTACTGGGAAGCACCTTGACAATCAATCCCTCTGGTGCACGCACCTTAGCTATATATGTGGCATTGAGGGGTCCCACATTGGTAACTGTTCTTCTGATTACTTTGGCTTTCTGGTTCCTTCTGAGCTGTTTTATAGAGATTGATGGGTAGTTTATGTTGGATATAAGGTCTTTACTGGAGTTCTTTGGGCAGCTGAAATTAGTCTTAGACATTGACCTAATGCTTTTCTGTGAATAGCCCTGATAACAAAGGAATTGGAGGTAGTCTTCCGTGTCCGTTTCAAAGACTAAACCAGGATAGAGAGCTTTGAGTGGGCTAATTTCCCCAGCTCCCATTTCATGTGGGCTGGCATAGTCGTTTGAGCTGTTGGTCAAAGACTTCCTCATGTTGTTATAGGTTGTTGCTAAAAATAAGAAATGGAGAGAACTGCATAAGTATCACTTCTCAATTTTAGACCTAATCAGAGATTGATCATTTTGAAAAGGAAAAAAAAAAAACAAGACGTTATTGGGCTGAGCTGGGTATTTGTTTTATGATTAAGTCTAATTCCCATTTTCCATAGAGCATTTCCTCTTGTATTTATTTCTTTTTACAACTTTTTTAATCCAATCCTGCATAATCTTCAACATCTTTTTCTTTCTGTTTTCATTCTTCGAGAGAGAGATGTTTCAGGATTAAAGAATAAGCAGTACATTAGTTATTGAACCTGTTGTCATTAGGGCTGACTTGATCATTGAAGGACTCCATCTTTTGTGTACTGATTTGATTAATGCTGCAGCACCTGTCACATGTGGGCAAGCCATAGAAGTACCAGATTTGATGCCAAATAGGGATGGTTTTTTCCCTGCCGGAACACTTCCTGGTTCAGTGCTTATGGGTATCATGGCAGCTAGAATGCCAATTCCTGGAGCCATAATGTCTGGCTGAGGAAAACATTTGCCACAAATAGTGTGTAAGATTGTGTTACCTTGCATAAATTTCATGTAGGGCCTTGGGGAAGAAAATTACCTTGAGTATGTTTTCTGTAAGGATTGAAGGACCTCTTGATGAAAAAGATGCAACAATTGGTGAAGGTTTATACCTAGCAACTTCTGCTGTTGGAAGAATTGTTGCAGTTGGGTTCCTGTCATGGATGCAGGCAGGAAAGGCTCATTTTTTGCTTAGCTTTTTATTTTTTTTTTTTCCTCCAATTGTTGGAAGTCTTAATTTATTTTGGAAAAAAAATAATTCAGAGAATGTTTGGCTGGGAAAATGAAGCCACATGAATCATAGGCAGTGGAACTAGACAGAATTCTATGGTTGGGGATGCTTACTTGGTAGAGTTAATGTAATTTAGAATCTGATTCCCTTCAAGATCACCAACATTTGTGTACGGAAAAATGCCTGCATCAAAAGGAATATCCTTCTTGTCCTCGTCAATTAGTATCATCCCCGTGGCCCTTGCATCTTGTAAAACTAGCTTCTTGATTCGTCTTGAAACAGCTGGATCATCAGCAATGCAAATCACAATCTTGCCAGCAACTTTACTGTAATCCAGTGATCCAGGATAACAATTCCTGCGTTCATTGATAAAAGAACATATTTCCTTATGTTCGAATTGCTGCATTATAGCTTCCTAGCATTTGCAACGTGTAAAATCTAGGATTTAATATTTAGAACAACCACTTATGCGTTGTCGGTATCAGTTCTACTGCCTACTGCTACATTAACAACGTGTACAAACTGGGACAATGGTATTAAATGGGTCTTCCTTTGAGTGAGATGTGAATTATTTTCAGCTCTTGACAACGTGACACTTGAGCAGCAAAAATGAGATATTAAGCAATGCTTACAACTTCATGCCGTAACTCTATAGCATAAAGTTGTAAATATTGCTTGATGTCTTTTATAACTGATTAGGTAACAATAATGCGATGGGAGGTTTTTCAAACCAAAAAGAAAAAAAGAAACCAAACTGGAATTATTGGTTCTTTTTTATCATTTTTTTTCAGTAGTATTATTACATGCGGAAGAATTTTTTGAATGAGCAAATACTGTAATATTCAGTTGTAAAAAATGTCTTGGTGTTTTTTTGGAAGGGAAAAAAAAATTAGAGAGCCTAGTAGTAAAACTTAAAACTTTGTCAAAATCACGTACCTTGCTTCCGATGCAGGGGTAAATCTAGCAGCCACACTCTCCCCAAAAACAAGTGGATAGAAATTTGAATGAGTGAGGTTTGAGAAGTTAATCCCTGAGCCCTACCAACACAATCATAGGGAAAAATTAGATTTCCCATAAATGAAAACTACGCTAAGAAATTTACCACACTTTTCTTTCTGCTTTGTATCAAAAATCAAGAAACCTACTTGAAAAGTTTTCCCATTTCCAAGGAGAACACTTGATTGGAAGCTCCTATCAATATTAGAAGCTGCAGCTGTTAATATCCATGGAGCTGTGTTTACAACTGTGTAAGGATCAGGACCATCATTCCCTGCAGAGCACACCACCATGACACCCTTTTCTTCTGCATGAAATGCTCCAATGGCTATGGGATCATTCAGAAAATCTGATTGAAACAGAGAACTAATTCCAATGGAGATTGAGATTATATCTACTCCATCTTTAACAGCATCATCCATAGCCTTCAATATAGTGGCACCTGAGCAGCCTTCTTCTGAGCAGGCCTTGTAAGTAGCAATTCTAGTGGAAGGAGAGCCACCTCTTGCTGTTCCTTGTGCTAAACCATAATAACTAGCATTGTTGACTTGGGTTCCAGCTGCGGTTGATGCAGTGTGAGTCCCGTGGCCAACAGAGTCTCTTGGTGAGCCCTTGTCACCATGAGTCTTGTTGCCACTGAATGTGATTTGCAGATTATAGTATCTTGCTCCTATCAATTTCCTGCATTTTTACTGAGATAATTGAGTTTTTACAGGACCAGTTTGAATATAATCATCCTATGTTTTTCAAGTGTATTTAAACTAGATACAAACTTCTCATTGAAAACTTCATAGGAGAAGGAATGGTCACCTGTTGCAATTGGATAGCTTGAAATTACGACCCTGCATGCAAACACCTTTCCATCTATAAGGGATTTCCCCAAGACCCTCATCATTAAAGCTTGGAGATTCTGGCCATATCCCTTCGGAAAAGAATAAACAAAAACTTGAATCAATAATCTTTAAGCAACTTGTTTATAATACATCGCATGCAATTGCTTTCTAATTAAGGTCAAGGTCATTATTAAAATAGGTGAAAGTTATAGTTTTTGGAGTTTCAAAGTGAGGAAATTGCTTTGATGACTAAATATGAAGGCTGGGTTCTAGTTACATGCTTTCACTCTGTTGGTCTTTTTAATTGTGAACTATATAATGTGCCGTAGATTTTGCTCTACCTTCCCTCTAAATAGCTTCCTGTATTCTCTGATTTATACATATAATTTGTTGGCCTTCACTGTTGGCAGAAAATGAGATTGGGAAGAGCAGGGCAATGACATGATTTGGTTGCAAAAAGTATTCTGGAACAAATGTAGTTTGTATGAATCTGCCATCATCAGTCACAAATTTTGTACTAGGGACATACTACTCATCGCAAAAGTAGCGAAGAATCTGATCTTCCTCAATTACTCAGATCGAGTTGCATATACAAAATATATGGGGTTTGAATTTAGCTGGTAATTCCCTGTTTTTAGTCGGCATCCACAAGTTGTGACATATGTTGCCTTCTAGTTGGGACAATCTATCTGTCTCCTGATTATTATCATCTTTTTTCTTTTAAAACAAAAAGAAGATACTGAGAAACCTCATCTCTTCGGTGATTTTATGGTTAGCCCTTGCATGTAACCTCAGTATGAAAACAATAAAGACTATAACGTGTGTCTAGGATGCTGATCACCACTTTATTGTCATCTCCCATTGGTTCATGCGGAATCCTCATTCCACATGCTTTCCCCGGCACCAAGAGGTTGTGTCAACTCGAAAAATTGTTTTCCATTTATTTCTCTTTTCATCTACGTTATTAGGCATGATAATTTGATTCTGCTTCCTTTTGCATTACAACTTTTTTGGAAGAAAGGAGGTTTTATTTTTATGGTAGCACCAATCTAAAGTTCCAGTTGCTACTTATCGTTTGTATTTTATTGTTCCCTCTAGAATTCTAATACAAGTATTTCCATAACTTCTTTTCTTTTCTTTTTTTTGTTTTAATCTTTTGGTTTCAATTAATTTGATTGACACAGACAGTTCACATCTTTACCCCATCAATGTCACCACTTGTAGAAGAACGTGCAACCAGGAAGGGAGCATCTTATCCTCTGCTTTGAAGATTGATGGATTATGTGCAACAAATAATGATTGATAAACACAGGGGAAGGTAGCAATCAAAACAGCTGGATGAGGGCCACAATGGATGGTCATTAATTGTTTACTAGCTAGGTCATTGATATTCCCATGTGAGTTGAATTCTATTCTGCTTGAACTGTCATTGTTGTTAGATGTAGATGCCTTGACCACCAGTTTGCCTCTTACATTATATCTTGCATTGCATAAAATCTAAAGAACGGGTTATACTGTTGTTGACTTATGATTGGTATGATTTACCATATAATATATTTTGATACTATTTTGTACAGGTAAGTGTGACTCACTAACCTTCACCATCACATGATGAGGTGTCCCTTCAAAACTCCTTTAGGCCATTTATGAGAACTGCATTGACATCATGACATGTGAAATGCATCCCCATCAACCTTTACAGATTGCACTCCTATGACACAGCCCCTATGAGGCCTTCCATGCTGTCATTGTATTTTATGTAACTATCATGCGTAGATTGAATTGTTGATGTCAAGGTGAGGCTGTAGCTGATGTGACGGTGACACTAGGATGTTTCATTTCAAGAGTTTAAACTTCTAGCTCTTGAAAAATGAATATAGTTAGTGTGAAAATTTGTTTTTTCATGTTAGTTTATTTGTTGAATTAATTTCTGGGACATTACCATCTTTTGGGTATGATGCTATAAGGGGGAAAACAAAAGAAAAGGAGCGTAATGATCTAGACAAGTGTACAAGAAAATGAACAAAATTTACTCTAGAAATTAGGTTGGACGAAAGTTATCACATACCAGTGTCTATAACACCAATAATAACATCGCTTGAAAAGTGTTGGTGTGGGATGATGCCACGTGGCATCATACCCAAATCTGACTCCAAAAAGTCCCAGGATCTTGTCGTATGTAACTGAAGAACCGGATCTGGAAACACTGACACTACACCATGATGCTCTGTTTTGAAAGTTACTCAACCACAATTAGTTCGTGAGAATACAAAATAATAAATACTAAATCTAAATCTTATACATACATATATTAAAATATATTTAAATTTAATTTAGTCTAGTTATTTAATTTAATGTACTAGGCGTAGGCTTGGTGAACAAATCAATTATCTGTATGGAGTGACTAAGAGACAACATAATTCATATCCATGGAAGAAAGAAAGATTTTGGTTTAAGCAAAAATGATACCATTAGTGAGCTTTTGTCTTTGTGGTGGGAAATTCAAATAATTAAGGACCTCAAAGTAGGAAATGATTAACAATGACTTAAATGATTTACCAAAGATATTTAAAAAATTGGAAGAAAACAAGAGGAAAAGGAGGAAGCAGATAAGACGAGAAGCACCAGACAAGGCAGAAGCTTCACTCTCTGTAAGCATGGCCGAGAATCCACTGAAAGCATGACTGTAATGGTGGATTAGGGCTATCCTCTCACTCTCTCCTCTGTGAAAAGTTAAAGTTAAAAGGCACAATAATGTATTAGTTGAACTGATTTCAATAATTATTATGATTTAAGTTTAATAATGAATAAATATGTTAGGATGTTAAAAAAAAAAAAAAAAACCCTTATCAGGTTGTGACTGTGACCTATTTTTATTAAGTTTGTATATGTCGATTTAATCCTTTCAAAATTTGCATGGGTTTCATTTTAAATGAGTCATCTTTACTACCAATCTTTATTGAGTGGTCTGATGCTTTATTATTATACTCTTAACATTAATGAAACGTTTAAATTGTGATTAAATATATCGACTGAAGACTGGAAAAAAAATACTAATTCGTTTTAAGATATTTGTGACCTGCATCTATAAAGAATTACTTGTTGTAAGGTATATAAAAAACCTTGGAATAATAGATGACAATAGCTGCAAATTAGCAGATTCTGCAATCTTGGAATCCAAGGCATTGCTGCTTGATGCTGAACTTCCCATGTAAACAACATAAGGCTACAAAAAACAGAGTATAAAAAGCTTAAGTGATCTTAATTAGAGTAAGAAATAATTATAAAAGGCAATGAATCACCAAACAAGAAACAAGGGTCAGACTTCTCTCCTGATTTTCTAGTTTTGTTCTTTCTAAATACACACAAAACAAAGTAGGCATACTTCGTATGTATCAGAAGATCACAACATAACCGTTTGACCTGAAGACAACATCAGTATGAGAGAGAGAACCTCATCTAACAGTTCAATTGAGGCTTTTCCTTCTTTGTTTTTGTTATTTTTGTTTTTTGCTCTCTCTCTTTTACATGACAGTTGTCCATTGACCAGAGAAGACTCAAATGCATGCAAGAAGCAATGAAAATGAAGAAGAGAGAGAAAGATTCACGGACCTTAGGAATTTGATGTGAGAAGGCTGATGAAGAAGAACAGACAAGAAGAAAAGGTACAAGGAGGAGGAAATGAAGGACTTGCAGAAGCCAAGCCATTATTGAAGATTATGTGTTGTGAGAGAGAGAGAGAAGAAGAGCTTTCTTCTGCTGATAAAGACAAAGACAAGTGTATGAGTTGTGATCAGTTTATAGGTCAAGTGAGTGAGAACTGTGAGAGAGTGAGATTCTTAATCTTCACTACAAGAAGCTTGATTGATGCTTCCCACATGAACCATCTGAAAACATATTTAATATTTGTTAATTCCTTTTGCTCTACTTCGTATCGAATGAACTGTGTAATTTCCCCCTTTTTTAATTAAATAATTTGGTTGACTCCAAGAATAACATGGGCAGAAATGAAAGGCATAAAATTGGCATAGTTATTCCAAAATTGTAAATATATATATATATATATATATATATAAACGATAGACTTGCTCTGGATTGGTTAAAAGTTTTTTTTTTCTTTCTAATTATGTTTAGAGTTATAGTATTTTGTGATAGTGACTTGTAATATTTATTGAATTTTACCGACCTTGTTTTGTTTTTCATAAATCTTTTTTAGATGCAAGATACTTCAACTAATTTTAAATTTTTGTTTTATTAATATTTGTTTCAACTATTTTTATCATATATTTAATAATTTTGTTATAAAGTATTAAATAGGGGTCATAATATTTCGTATATTTTTCAAAGTGGCTCGATTTTAATTCAACCACTATCAAATTATTGAATCGTGAATTGTACTTTCATCTCAACTCATTAAAATTGATTAACTAGTATGGTTTTAAAACATTGATTATGAAATGCCAATTTATAGTTTTGTTAAGGAATAATTTTCTTACTTATTTATTACGTTTTGGGAATGAACTAATTGGCAATTTTTTTGTGTCATAAGATGGGACCAAGAGCCAAAATGGATGGCCATTGCTTAACACTTTTTATTAATTATATTTTTTTACCAAACTTTTTATTAATTATATGACCCACCATATTAATAAATTATGATGAGTCACATTCAATTTCATCAAATTTTTACAATTTCTGCTGTAACCAAAAAAATAATTAGTATTTAATATTATCGAATTAAATTTTCATATTATTATGCCTATTTAATGTAGTTTCTTCTAATGTTTTTATTCATGATTTTTATAAATTATAAGATCTTTTGATTTGAGGTTTGAGCCTAATAATATTTATATGTCAATTAATTAATGGCACTCAAATATCATATAATTGTAAAAAAGAATAAATTCTATGGTAAGTCACGTTTTTTATTAATATTCCACGTTCATTTTCATCAAGTTTTTACAATTTCTATTGAGGTGATACCGTGATAGAATGTTAGCACTATCTTGTTATTTATTTTTTTTAAAAAAATCAATAATAATTAAATTTAAAGTGATTGATCGTACATTCGTACCACAAGTGAAATGATTATGAAATTAAATCTCTTCAAGTAATTAAAGGATTATATTCAACGCAAAATAAGAATAAAATTAATTACAAACTCAAGAATTTGATTTGTAACCTAGATGATTTGAAACATATAAATAAATCTCTGTGAGTAATTAACTGAAAAACTCCATTAAAAGAAAATGAACTAGTGGAAGATGACTATAATTTTATAATATTAAAAAACATGCAAAATAATAATGGTAAAACTCTTAAGACAATATAATCCAACATTGATATGTTTAGAAGATGAATCCAACTTATTTATCCTCACACATAAATAATAACAATAACAACAAAAAGGAGTCAAAAGTCTCAAAAGCAAGAATCCAGTTCCTTGAATGAGAGGATTTTCATTTAATTAAAGAAGAAGAAGAACATAATATGCTTCAAATGGAAGCAACTTATTGGTCTCTTTTCCAATTGCCATGTGGAATTCTGTTCCTTTATTTCCGCGTTCAGTTCTCTTTCTCCTGTTGTTTTCCCAGAGATCTGCTTCTCCTTCTTCACTTGTTCTTATTAATTAATTAGTTCTTAATTATTTCAGCATCTTCTTCTTCCTTTGTTGGATTATATTCTCTCTTCTTTTGCCTTTACGTCTCTCAACAATACTAAGACTAAATGTGCAAAATGCAGGTGATGAATTGAGAAGGTGATACTGAGTTCTTAAATATTAACTTTGGTCCTAATTATAGGAAAACATTAACCAATTTCACAGTTTTAAAGTAATATTCCCTCTATCTCAATTATTAAATATTTTTTAGAGAGATTTAGTATCTCAAAATATAAAGCACTTTGACAAACATAATTATATAAGATTTCATTAATTATACTTTTCAATATTATCCTTCTTATTATATTCTCTTTTTAATATTCATTCATAATGGAATATTAAATGAAATGTATTTTTGAGAGTTTATATTTTTAAAAAAAATAAAGTTATAAAGTATATTTAATGAGTTTTATTTATATACATAATTTTGTTTAAATGTGTCTTGCAAATTAGGATAGGGAAGTAGTAGGAAATATCTTTAAAATTGTGAAAAGTGTTTGTCTTAGCAATTTTGCCTTTCACTAAAATTAATAACCACAACAAAATTTGTCAGGGCATTACAACTTGGTACAATTAATGAAGGATAATTTAAAAAAAAAAATTGACTAGTACATTTTTGTCCTATATTTTTAGCATCAAATAGAAGTTTAAAACTTTACATCATAATTAGAATTGAACATTATTCATTCTGTGGATTCTCATGCATCAAATAATTAATGAATGATCCTACCAACCTTAATCTTGTAAAATAGACTTTGATATTTTTTTTTTGACCAAAACTTTGATTTTTTTAACCAAAATAAAATAAACTTTGATTATAATTTGATTGGATATTCCCTTGGCTCTCCTCCATCAATGCCTATCTCACATAGACTAGCGAAATCAGTTGAGGGTTAGTTAAGCTGATTAAGCTTGTGACAAGACTTAGATTTTTATGTGGGAAATTGCAGTGAGGGCCTCATAAGGGGGAACAGTGAGAACGCCGAACAACTGAAGATTCATTTGTATGCAACTAAAAGTTTATTAATTAACTTATATATAGATGAACCTTTAATTATTCATCACTATCATTCTCTCTTTTTATATTTGCTTTTAGTTAATGATCTATTGGCTTTTTTTTTCTTGTGAATCTCAAATTTCTCCCTTATAATATGATTTATGAGGAAAATTTTATGGAAAAAGGCATTTTAATTAATAACCCAAGAAATGACTTATATTTTAAACAATCATAACATATCAACAAGTGTCATATATTTAAAATTGGAATGAATAAATTAGATAGTCAGTGTTGAGTATGAATCTTGGAGTTTTAAGATTTTTTTTAAATAAAAGAGAGAGAGACACACAACAATAACAGCAATAAGAATAAATTACAATGACATCCCCTCTGTTCTGTTAACATTATAAAGACGTATTCTCTATCTTCAAAACTTATGGTTTAGTTCAATTTCTAACCGTGTTAGGAATATTCTATTAAATATTATAAGATACTTTAATTTTTATTTTTAATTATGCTAAAAAATTAAAATTATTAATTTTCCATTATAATCTAATTTTATATTCTCTTCGCCCTGATTTAATCAACTTTAAATAATTATGAAAATAATTAAATAAATAATTTAAAAATATTGTGTTTAAATTAAATAAATTTAAAGAAAATAAATATAAATTATATAGACTAATTTATTTTTTATTATATATTACATCACTATTTCATTATATTTTTTATATATATGCTTGAAATGTTATTGGAGAAACATTTTGTATTTATATTTTAAAAAATTACTAAATAAAAATTTCTAAAATTAATTAAACATTTAAAATATGTATAAAATTTTAAAAACATATGCATTTATTTTTTTATATTATAAATTATATTTAGATAATACTTCAAGAGGGCATTTTAGTCTAGTATATATGACTTAAAGGTCAACTAATAGTTGGGTGTATGAAAATAATTTTTTTAAAATAAAAGAGAGGTTTGTGTTTTGAAACTATTAATTCTATGGGAGGTTCATATAGGTGTAGAAATAGCAGGGATGTGTTTGTAATTAAAATAAACTAGAAGGGAGATGAATGTATTTAAAAGCTTCACTTCTAATACGTGAATCATAATATTATACGTCTATCTCCAACTTCATTTTAAGCAAACTCATTTTAAATATCTAAATTATTTATAATATAGTTTCTTTCTACTCTAACTTTTTTCTGCTTTAGACATATTCATAATGAAGTTTGAGCCTTTGCCCTATTCAATCCTAGGAAAAGAAATACATTGTTTAGGTCACAAGGTTCCTATGAAATTCAAAAGCTAGCTAAATCCTTTATATTATCATTTATTTTACTTCTCTTCAAGTTTGTTAAATAAGATATTCAAGTTTTTTTTTTTTGGCACGAGTTTTGATATCTCAAGTCTTTGACCTTGAACTGATTCCATTAGGCATCTCTTTGGGGAGCATCCCTCCCATTGATAATTTAATAATTTAATTTACATGTTTATATACAAGCACTTCAATTTGACAATTTTGAATCTCTTTTCAACATACATCATCTGAATTTGGTTTTAATGGTTTTAAAAAAATTTGGTAGTTCAAATATATAAATGTATTGACAAGTTGTTTTCTTTTTTAACAAAATAGAATGCAACTTGAAAGACAAATAATAGTTTAATTCAACTAGTTAAGGAGTTAAATTAATTTATCTCACGATATATAATCGCATTAGATAAAAATATCAAAGATATTTCAGTAAGATCATCGTTGATAATGATGATCCTACATGATAGGAGTTCAGATTAGTCTAGTGGTTGGCATTAATATTTTCAGGTTTTTCTAAATACTAAGTGATGGGAAACAAATATTTAAAAGTTAAATTTGGGTTCTTGGGCTTATTTGGATATATTTTCTATTGTTTGGGCTTGAGCTGCACCAAGAGATGGACTTGGATTTAGTAAATGTTTGATTATCAATTTGGCCCAACATCAGTTTGTGGCCCAAAACAAAGGAAGATGCCCCCCCCCCCTTCTTTTTTTCTCTCGAGATTGATAAAACAAAGCAATATTCTACTTCTCGCGTGCTTTTCCCCTTT